ACAGACAGACAGACAGAGAGACAGGTAGACAGACAGAAAGACACACAGACAGACGCGAGCGCTTTATATATATGGGGGGCGTGATAGTATGTTAACAACTTTTCGGACGTTCGAATTCTCTTGTTTGGAAGGTTTCTCCGAATCTGCTCCTTAACTTATGTTTATGATATACCTTAGACTACATATCTACTTTGGTGCTCTCAATTGGTCAGAGTTCGAAAAACGGTGGGGCCTGCAGATACCACCGGTCGTTCCGTCTGTGTGCGCATTTCCCTTCCGGAATCGCTCCTCGTTTCAACATTTTCCCCACTCACAACCTCTTGAACCGCGATGCGTAGATAAGTAATATATGACCTCAAGACGATCGTCCTGCCTCACATACAACCCCTTATCCGAATAGAATTGCTTGTGAAGGAGTAAAAAAACTGCAAAACCTGCCGAACTACGAGAAAAATGACTGCTGACTTGTTTGTATGTTCTACTCCGATGAGGAGAGTATCCCTAGTAAACACAGTTGTATCCAGATAAGATTCGAAAGCCCTATAAGCTTCTCGACGATAAGAAGTTGGAGAGAAAAACAAATGCCGTGCGCTGCTTGCGCGCGGCACGCGTTTGGACAAGCCTTTCTTGACTAAAGTTCAGCATGGAAGAAATGTTGAGACCCTACAGTATACATATATTTCACATATCGAGTGCTGAAGCCGCTGAGAAGAGTCAGATTGCCTCTCATACTCGTTTTCCCCCTTTGATGAAAGTCTTTGCTAGAAACTTTACCATCAGAGCGATAACACAAATTTCGGTACAAGTACAAAAAAGTACAAAATTTACTCCAAAACTCCTTAGGAGAGTCCTTCTGAAAAGATGCAGCCGAGGGTCAAAGATTTTTCTGGGAATCCGATTTAAAAACTACGGCGCACGCTCACGAATGGGAAAATATAAGACTGGTGCTGAAGAATGTTCGCGACTTTATCCCAGCTTTCAATCCTCCTACGAATATCCCGGACCACAATGTGATCGGCTGCTAAATATAGTTCATACTAGAGAGGAAAGCCTGCGCTTCACGTAGCACTGTTTCTGCTCATAAGAAATCGTTGAAAAAAATCCAAGGCTGGAGTTTCTTAAGAAACTCTGCGTACCGCCGTCGATGAGTAGCCGCAGCGTCTTTGAACTATAATTAGTACAGGAGACGGTTACATAAGATGACCGTGTGTTTATTATGTAGATGTGATGCATAGTAAATAACTCATATGAAGTGAGCGTGTATACTACTTACATAATCGGCTGAGTGTGTCTCTTGGTGTGTTTGTGTGTGTGTGTTTGTGTATGTGTGTGTGTGTCTGACCGGAAATTCATAACTCCTGTCCCCGTGGACCGGAAGCGTATAAATTTGGTAGGAGTGCAGGCGGCGGGATGGGAACACTTTTAGTGAGTGGCAGGACCGGACTCCGCCCAAAAGGGACGGGGTTTGTGAGAAATAAATATTTGAGCCAAAACTCAAAACTCATGCTCCCGTGAACCTAGAGCACTCAAACTCGGTAGGAGTACGGGCGGCAGGACACTTATGGCGGGTGACAGGATCAGGCCCCGCCCACAATGGGCGGAGTTTGAGCGAAAATTCATAACTTCTGTCCTCGTGGACCTAGAACGTTCAAATTTGGTAGGAGTCATGGGAACAGGGTGGGAACACTCACTGTTGGTGGCTGGACCAGACCCCGCCCATAGGAGGCGGGGATTGCGCGAATATTGTCACTTTGGCCCTAGAGCGTTCAAAGTATTCCAACAGCACGAAGACTTCACGGAGGTACGCTTCCTTGGCGCATCTGTCCTTTTTTCTCTGAATAATCGCCTTTGTTATATCATACAATGTACTTCGGACATAGCGAAGATGGCTTACATAAAAAATCGCTCCTAATTCGGAGCTATTACTGAGGGTGTACAACTTTCAAGGAAAAAGAAGAATCCGAAGAGTGATTACGCATAGCAAATTTCTTACAGGTAGGAGGACCGCCCGGCGAAGCCGGGCGACACCATAAGAAGGAGGGAAGCCCGGCGTTAGCCGGACGGCCCACTGGTCGATATTAACTGCGGTCCTTGTAGCCCAACCCTTCTGTTACCATATTTATGGCGCACCTTGTACAGTAAGGGCACCCATTCAACAATGATACCGCCACCTATGAATTTCACTAAAGCTCTTATTCTAGAGCGCTTCAGAAAGTTTCAGTATGAAAAGTGTGCCCCTTACAGAACGTAACTTGCGGATCAACAGCAGGTCCCAACTTGAGAACATGGACAAATTCCCCCCTCTTTCAGAAAATGTCACTTTACCTGGGTTCAGAAATGATACAGCCATCTCATACTTCCCCGTCGTTTTCCATTTTCACCTTATATAATCGCTTCATTCATGTAACGTTTCAGTTTAAGGTAATAATTTGAGGAAAGTTGTCATCCGATTTCGAGAAAGGTCGATTCCCCGCAAAACAGGAACAGGGACTGTCAAATCGCTCGAGGTTTGGTCCGATGCTACGTAGTGTCCACAATTTCGAGAGAAATCTTACAGAACCTGGGGCCAAAGAAGTACGGGACGTTTTTCTTCGCTTTCTGAAAGACGCAAGCGACGGATTTTGAAGGAAGCGTCGAACATGACTAATCGTAAGTCATAACGGACACCAACTTCTCTTGCCTCCCCAGTGTCTCGAGAATTGCTGTTTGGATCGTGATAAGTAAGTCCCAGTTTATCGTTGGGTGATAAATGAGGAAGGCATACTTTATGACCGAAGCATCAAATCATCGAAAAAATTGCCCATCGTCTCGAGGTGGGAATTGCTGTTAGTCTACAAGTCAGAGCCCGCCAAATTTCAACGCTCTAGATCCACTGGAACAGGAGTTATGAATTTGCGGTCAACAACTTCTATCGTACACGCTCCGCCCCCTGTGGGCGGAGTTCGG